ATCACAATCACACACTGAACAGATAATTTCTCAGTCAGCTAGCCATTCAATGTGGCGTTGTTTGGCTGCTTGATTCAAATTCTCTCTGTTCCCACAGTCACCGATGATGCTGCTTCCACTGCAGCTGCTTCCGCTTCGACCGTTACAACCACTGCTACCCATGTTGCTGAATCAGATGCTACTGTCGGTGATTAGGTTGCTTTCATGGAATCTTTGCTAGTTTAGATGTTAGCGACATTCCACTGCAGATTCACATTGTCCACAAAGCCTTCCAAATGACTTGGTTTGCATGTAATTGGCTTAAGCAAATGTTTCTGCTGATTAGGTATTCACGCTCACCTTACACCTGATTCCTTTCTTATATGCTTAACCAATCAGTCTCGTATACTCACACAATTCACCGAAACAATCAGTCGAGTAGAGCAAATCCACACTCCAATCCAACCGTTTACAAGATATGACAAAGTGCACTGCTGCTGCTGCTGCTGCTGCTGCTGCTCATTATTCATTCAACATTTCGCCTGATCCGATTCGTCTGCATAAAGAAGCAAATTAGTTAACTGACTGACAGCCAACTTCACCACACTACTGAGTGACAGAGAGAAAGATAGACAGATAGACATGCAGACGGACAGACAGGCAGAGGGACCGGCGGAAGGAGTAACTGTCTGGCTGACTGTCTCACTGACTTACTGGCATCTCACAATGCTCCATAATTCATAAAGGTGGAATAAACAATTGGAAGGAAGCACAGAAATTCACATAATGCACAATAAGGGATGGTTTCAGTGAAGATGCAATTGTTCCTGAAATATGGGTGACACATAAATGTATGCATGAATGGAGTACTGTTGTATTATATACAACGGTTTATATTTGAGTAATAATTTTACGTTCAACGTAACCCGCGACAATTCTGGTGGATGCTTTCTCAGCCTATAAGAAGACACTTACTGGAATAAATAGGTGTATTTTCTAATTAATGTAACACATTTTTCTTCTGCGTATACTGCTTCTCGTCGGAATTTTAGTTAGCTGCGTGAATATGTGACACCTGTGGGAATATTTCGGAAATAATTAACTGCAGTTTCGTCATACACATCACGTAATTAAAGATTGTGAATGTGGTAAGTTTACCAGGTAGTCAATACACGGAATATTTAATCTCTTTCAAAGACGCAAAAACAATTGCGGATTTTTCAAAATGTGTCTATGTATGAGGAGGAGGGTGATGAAGATATTCTCCCTATTCCTCTGAAGAAAATAAAGCGGTAAGATTGGCTATGCACACGTATATTTTACCGTTAGGGACACAATGAAACAGACCACGGGATACCTGGATGATTCCGTGGAGATGGACGTCCTACAAATGCAGCTGAATTCAGTCACACTATAATGCTTAAATAATGCGGACGGTTTTGATAAATTTAAACAGCGCAATGAGAAGACGAAGATTATCTGAAAGATGTGATGTATTAGCGCTATGCATTTCGAACAATCTGATCACACATGGACTTGTCGACCTATTTATGTGAAAATTTACGAAAAAGGTCAATGAAGTTAATAGGAAACATAGGAGGAATAGGAAGGGATAGAAAAAAAGGAAAACCTTATTCTTGGTATGAAAATTAAAATCAATACTACCAAGGTAGGTTCAACGTGAGTATGAATTGTTTTTGTATACGTAAAGGGGGTTTAAATTTACTGATGGCAAGAGCTTCAATAAATTTAAGCACTCGGCTCTGTCCACTTTTATGTAGTACTTTAAAGCCTGTTTTCATGTCTATCTAATGGTTAGTTTCTAGTATATGTTTAGCAATAGACGAAGATGGATGTTTGTCACCTGCACTTATCGGATCTGTTGAGGTCATTTGTTTTTGTAGCCACTTAGGTACATGTTCAACCTGCCTTAACTGCATATCATATCCATATCATATCCATATATATGTGTGTCCACACATACATGTAAATTGATAAACACAGTGGGATGTGATGTAATCTTTTACATGTTGTTTCGGTTTGTGCTGTAACTTGGACTTGCCCAGTCCAATATAAACGTGGTTTAGTCAGATGATTATTCAACAGAATAAACCGCATCTGCACTGATGACACCAGGGAGGAAGAAACCAACTTACTGACGACAACACTGACACAGAATGGATACCCGTTGAGATTTATCGACCGGTGCAAAAGTTATGTACCATTGAAAAGTACACAGTGTTCCTTTGCTAAGAAAATTATCTACATCTCATTATCATTTAGAGGTGATTCACATAACTTTGTTGTGACGAAAAGACTTAGATCGACCATCTGTAAAATGTATTATGCAGCTAAGGTCATCACTGTAGAGAAGACCAAGTCCAACCTTTTTAATGTTTTCTGTTCTTGAATGTTCATTTTAGCATGATGTTGCCTTATTTCTTGTTGAGTGACCTCATTTAATCCTGATGCTTTAGGTGACGACTCTAATGTCGCAAAGAATTCTGGTTTCGTGGCATCTCTTGTGTTGTAATTCAATCCTTTTTGAAGCAGAAGTTCTTTCATTTTTGTAAGTGGTTTTTTTGATAAGTTGGCAACGCAGTTGTTTGTTCCATCGGTTGAAAGTACTTCTGAGATTTTGAGCAGCTTTTTCCTGAGGACATTTGGAGTCAGATTTCAGAGCTCGACAAACTGGTGAGCCCGACGCGATTAAACTCTCGCAAGTTTTACTGATGAATATTATTCTTGTTTTCAACTGATTACTGCAACTACAGTCACTAACAACTGTACACCATACGGATATATATACTGAGAATATCTCCAGGTGCTTTGTGGTGGGCATTAACATGCCTGTTTATTGCATTTTTCCGACTCTTGTTATTTTAAGTTCTTAACACTGTATTTTTGCTGTACCAGTACTGATGTCTTTAAAATATCATAAGCAGGACTTTTCAAATGTAGGGTCCCTGGGTGCCATTATTCTCCCTATTCCTTGTTTTAAGTTTAATGACCCACAGTTGTGGTTTGTTCGTCTAGAACATTTCTTCATGGCCAATCATATAACTTCACAAAACACAAAGTTCGGATACACAAGCTCTATTTTGCCGGAAGAAGTGGCTGAACAAGTAAGGGAGACACTATTAAAGCCCCACCCAGACACACCTTATGATGTTTTGAAGCAAGAAGTACTGAAAGTTACTTCGTTATCTGATCAGAAGGCTGTCGATCAACTACTAAATAGCGTATGCCTCGGTGACAGAACACCTTCACAACTTAAGCGACATATGTAAAGTCTGTTGAAAGATAGGAACGTAGACAACCGTCTGTTTTACCAGCTCTGGCTGTGGAGGCTTCCTTCATGCATTCAGCAGATATTAGCTGTTAGAGATGCGGACACTGACATTGACAGGTTGACTGACACCGATAACCGTATGTACGAAAGAATGCCTAAACAGATTGAAAGTACTGCTGAGCCAACGCAAAACGACCGAGTAGCCACTTTAGAGAGCAAGAATGACATACTTACAGGACAACTAACGGCTTTGCAGTTAAACCGACGGTCACCGAAGTTCCATAGAAGCAGATAGGACCATGAGTAGAATTGCGTCTAATAGTAGCACGTGCTGGTATCATAAAAAGTTTGGCAGTAAAGCACTTCGTTGTTTGTTCCCATGCAATTTTAAAAACTTTCATCGGGAAACGGAAAGGCCGGAGATCAGTGACGACTGCTGTCGCCGGCGTACAACAACATAGTCGTTTGTTTCGAGTGACGGATAGGAAGACTGGGGCTCAGTTTCTGGTTGACACTGGAGCCGAAGTGAGTGTGATCCCACCCACACCTTCCGAAAAACGCCATCCCAACCCAACTTTGGTACTACAAGCGGCAAATAGATCTGCTATTACTACATATGGAACCAGAATTTTGATCCTAAACATTGGCTTTCATACACCATTCCAGTGGGAATTCGTCATCGCTGACATTGTCGCCTATCATTGGCATGGATTTCCTTCAACACTACCAACTATTGGTCGACTCTAGTCGCCATAGACTAGTCAGCCGTAATGGTGAATTTTCTATCACGGGTATCGTTACGGAGACAAAAACAATAAACCTAGTCGTAGCTCCAATAAACAACACTTCCGAGTACGATATCCTTCTGCGAGAATTTCCCGAGCTCACTCAAACGGATTACACAAAGTCCTCTCCAAAACACACGGTGACGCACCATATTCTTACAAAAGGTCCTCCAGTCTCATCAAAACCTCGACGCTTAGACCTTAAGAAGCTGCAGATAGCAAAACAGGAATTTGATAAACTTCTAAAGTTGGGAGTTATACGCCCTTCCAAGAGCCCATGGTCATCACCCCTGCATATGGTACCTAAAAAACATCAGGGGAAATACGGCCTTGCGGTGATTATCGAGCGTTGAATAAGCGTACGGTCCCTGATAAGTATCCAATTCCTCACATACATGATTTTATGAACTCTATGACAAAAGTAAATATTTTTTCCAAGATTGACCTCGTGCAAGCTTACCACCCATTCCTGTGGAACCCAATGATGTTCCTAAGACGGCCATCACTACCCCTTCGGACTATTCGAATTTATTCGTATGCCGTTTGGTTTGACAAATGCTGCTCAAACATTCCAAAGATTTATAGATCAGGTACTCCATGGCTTACCTTTCGTCAGTGCATACATAGATGACTTAATAGTAGCTAGAGCATCTGAAACAGAGCACCTGCAACATCTGAGGACGCTTTTCGAACGACTGCGTGAATATGGCATTACAATCAATCCGCAGAAATGCGAATTTGGCAAGGAATCCCTACAGTTTTTGGGTCACATTGTTAATGCCAACGGTGTTAAACCGGTTCCGCAAGAAGTAGATGCAATTCGAGAATATCCTGTTCCAGACTCGTTTCGAAAGCTGCGAAGATTTCTGGGGTTAATAAACTTCTATCGACGTTTCATACCTAAATGTGCTGAAGTAGCCCAACCGCTGACAGATTTATTGCAAGGACGAGCCAAAGTGTTTCACATGACCCAAGCGGCCCATGATGCTTTTGACAAACTGAAGCTGGCTCTAAGTTCTGAAACTCTTCTCTCTCGTCGTGATTCAGAAGCACCACTAGCCATCATGACAGACGCTTCAAATGTTGCGGTAGGCGCAGTACTACAACAGTTTGTTCACGGTCAGTGGGAACCATTATCTTTCTTCTCGAAACGACTTAATGCTTCTCAATCGCGATACAGTACATTCGGCAGAGAGCTACTGGCGATTTACTTGGCTATCAAGCACTTCAGATATATGCTCGAAGGGTACTCATTTATAGTATTCACCGACCATAAGCCACTCACAAAAGCAATTGATGCAAAGCATGACAACTACTCGCCGCGAGAAATTCGACATTTAGAATTTATTTCACAATTCACTTCAGATATAAGGTATATCAAAGGCAGCAAAAATGAGGCAGCTGATGCTTTGTCTCGTATGTACGTAAACGTCTTAGAACGTGACCGTATTGACCTAGCAGAAATGGCAAAGTTGCAGGCCACGGATGAGGACTTGAAACATTTGAAAAACAATGTGAACACCTCATTACGTCTTGAAGAAGTAACACTTGATGACTCTGTATCCATCACCTGTGATGTATCCAAGGGTAAACCGCGCCCGTTTGTGCCTTTATCAATGAGACGATTAGTCTTCTCTAAGATGCATGGCATTTCACATCCTGGTATTCGAGCTACGGTGAAGTTAATTACTGACCGATACGTCTGGCCAAAGATGAATCGAGATCTTCGACAGTGGTCCAGAGCTTGTTTAGCGTGCCAGCGATCGAAAGTGCAAAGACATATTCTTTCACCTACGGGAAGATTTTCCCACCGGATGGCAGATTTGACCATATACACGTTGACATCGTTGGACCACTACCTCCGTCAAATGGTTTTAGCTACATTTTAACATGTGTAGACCGATTCACGAGATGGCCAGTGGCAATACCTCTGCAGGATATATCTGCCGAAACAGTAGCGAGAAATATCATCCAACACTGGATTTCTAACTTTGGTGTCCCAAGTGTCATCACCACAGATAGAGGTGCGCAGTTCGAGAGTAGTCTATTTCAACAGTTAACTGAACTTCTCGGGATCAAGCGCATAAGAACCACTGCGTACCATCCTGCATCCAATGGTATTGTCGAAAGGTTCCATCGACAACTAAAAGCAGCACTGATGGCAGTAAAGACTGATGACAAGTGGAGTGACAAATTACCACTAGTACTCCTTGGTATACGTTCGAGTGTCAAGCAGGACATTGGCTACTGTTAGTTTATGGAACTACTTTAAGATTGCCAGGAGAGTATTTTAACCCGGCAACAGACGTTCCACCGGACTTGACTAACTATGTACAACAACTACGGCGACACATGAGCACACTTCGACCTCAGTCCCCACGATACCGAGACAACCAAGTTTACGTACCTCAGTGCATCTCAAACTGCACTCACGTTTTCGTCCGACACGACGGCGTACGAAAACCCTTACAGCCCCCGTATGAAGGACCTTTCAAGGTAATTAGTAAATCAGACAAAGTTGTCACGGTCGAACGCTCGGGTAGACGAGAAACGGTCAGCATTGATAGAATCAAACCAGCGTTTATGGAACCAGATGTCACGGATACCAAGTCTGAACCCGCAGTGAAGCAACCGGAAACACCGAAAACCACCGTCAAAACAGAAACAACGGCATCGGAATCACCCAATATAGCGACGGTAGCAGAACCACGAGATCCGGAAGAAGAGTCCGTTGGCCACGACGTTACTTTCAGACAATTTACATTTCATAAAACCAATTCCCTAGTAACATTATTATCGTTTTTGCTCATTACCTTGTTGAAAACATGACCACACGATTTTGTCAGACTTTTCCGCATACACAAAACAAAAATTTTTTCCCCGGGCACCACGGACTTCCGAATCTCTTATTTCTTAACAATGTTCCAGGTAATACGATTTTGGTTGTTAATTTTTTTAATCTCCGGATATATTATTACTTTGGTAAAGTTATTTTAGTGTTTCGAATGTCATACACTTCATTTTTATATAAACACTCTTCCAATCAGTTTTCATCCTGATAATAGATATCCTTAACATTCCTTCTATGTTTTTAATATCTTCAAAATGAATTTACCTTTCTCATAATATTTTATATCGAACACAGATATTCCCTCTTATATCTGTATTCTGGGGAGGGACTTATGTAGCATTTTATTTCACTGTATTGTGTTGATATATGTAACAACTCATTGAACATTTTTGTTTAGTTGTACTGAAAAAGACTTTTTGCTCGCTCGTTTACTAATACAACATCCTGATATATACTTCGCGTTAATTCCTGATATTTACACTGTCTGAAACAGGTGGATCAGCAGTATCGGGAATTATAAATAGGCGATAGTGTATCTGGACATGTATATACATTTGGAGTCAGATTTCAGAACTCGACACGACAACCAAAGAAGACAAACCGAATATCATTTACAAAATCAACTGCAATAACTGTAGGCAACACTACAATGGACAAAGTGGTCACCCTCTTCGCCTTCGTCTACAAGGATACTAATTGGCTATTAAACGTCACATACGACATTTCATCACTCATTTCAATGCATGTGGATAATTATGGACATGAATTATATTTCGACAATGTAGAAATTTTGGACGGAGAGAGGAAATGAAAAATTTCAGAGAATTCCTAGATGCTCGACACTCAGGTCAGTCAGCAATCAACAGATGTATATACATAGACCCAATCTATCAACCAATAAGAAAGATGATAAAAGACAGAAAGGTCAGAGGGTAAGCAGAGGAACAGCCAACAGGAAAATCAATGCAGTCGGTCAATGACACAACAATCGAAGGAAACAACCAATCACAGACCACGTCGTCAGAGCAAGCTACTAAATCACTGACGGAGAGATATTGACAACTCACTTCATACTGAAGTTAGTGCTGATGATGTCGTCTAGAAGGACGATAAAAGCCTATCCACGATTAAACAAGCTAGCTTAGAGAACGCAATGCAACCAAGACCATCCACCTGAGCTACAAATATCCTCCACTACTTCAAAGCTGCATTTACGCATGCACGCTCAAATTGTTCTACAGGTGCGTAAATTATGCGAGTAGACCGTAAAAATCTGCTTAATTGTCGCATTTCAGCATTATTACAGCATTCCTAATCAATGCATTGGCCTGCATTATTTCAGCATTCATGTTAGACCGGGAAGTGCACACCTTCAGCATACCCTGTAACCAACGTTTTAGAAACTGCGATGTCACCAGTTGCGGGATAAGTACAAAATATATTGTTATTTTCTCAGGCCTCCAACTATGAGTACTCTAGTTTGCACTTCACCAGTGCATGATGGTATCACGTAAGTGACTTCTTCACTAAACACCAATTTCCCACATAGCTTGAAGAAGGACCATCACAATATGGTGTTGGCTATCAATAGGCTAACAGGTACCCACCCTCTTACCTCTTACCTATCCCATACAGAGTGTATGCAGCAGATGCAGATAACGCAACTAAAAATGTTTAATGTATGGAAGGCTGAGAAGTGAAGAGGAGACAGCACATCTCTGTCTCCGGATGATTATCATTTTCGATTCCCACTCAGCGGAGATGAGGATGTGCAAATTCTGGAATCATCACTTAACGATGACAAATTTGGGGACAAGTTCGTAAGTTAATTTACGCTAATTTAATTGTGTAGACCGCAAAAATGGCACGAAAACCGCAATGAGACCCTAAGTCATCCCTCCGAGTGATGATCTTCACAATCATTAGTCCATCTTTGGCAGTAAATTACACTTTCCGTGGAACACTGACCACTTATCATCATATCAGATAATGAGGGCTAAGTAGAAACTTACTAATTACATCCCCTGGCTGTTGTCGCAAGTCGATTTATCTCAGGCACTTAGCATGAGAATAAATTAGAAAATATCATGGATAGAAGAACAAAAGCGTATTTTCATGACTTGCGCGACAATATACACAACCGTTTCAGTCGGAAAGAAAGCACGGTAAGGAATTGGGAATACTAGTGTTTGTTGATGCCTTTAATCATTCCTTACATGTGTGATGTGTATGAGGAAACTGCAGTTGATTATATGTCATTTATTCCCACAGGTGTCGCATATTCTGGCGGCTAACTAAAATTCCGACGAGCAGCAGTTTATGAAGAAGAAACCTATGTCACACTTATTTGTTAATATACCTTATATTTCTTCTAGTAATTGTCTTCTTATTCGCTGAAAATGTATCCGCAGGAATTGTTGTGGCTTATCTTGAACGTACACTTATTTAGAAAATATACGAGAGAAATGGTAACAAATTGGTGGACTTTTTCGAATAAATGGCTAGACCGTGGTGAAGATTAATAGGGTATGCGTTGGGAATTATTGCGGACAATGGGAAACCAGTGGGGAAAATAGCCGAACGAATAACGGAGCCATGGGCAATGAATACGGAAAATGGGGAAACCTTGGGGAAAAAAGCGAGGAAATAATGAAGGCGGGGAGAAAAAGTGGGGACAAACCGCATCGTTGCTGCCAATGCTTGTGTTTTGTAGCATTTCGCCGTTATTTCCCCTTTTACCCACCATTAATTTTAGTCACATTTCCCTCATTCGTCACCCTTCTTCCTTCGTTTTCTCAGTTTGTGAAAAACGAGTGCGAGTGATGTCCCGAGATATTTTGTAGCCTCGTATTCACTGCGACGGTCAGGCATCACATCTTCATCCTGTGTTGAGAATGATAGCATCAGCCCTATGCATTGGCGATAAAACCCTGACCGATTAGAGCCAGACAAATGATGGACTTTTCCAGAAGACCATGGTCTAGTCCTGGCTAACGACTCAGATTTCAAATTTTGACATGACAAGGAGTTGACCGCACGCAGTTTAGGGTTTTGGACTACCAAAAAACTTACCTTAACTATAGGCTAAGACGCCATTGATTGCATTTCACAGTCGGATTCTGCTCACTAAAACAAATGTGGTTGCCTTTTGTGACGACCCTTAAGTGTTGCAGACACTGAGACTCATAAAAGACACAGACAGACCGAAGAAGAACAGGAATTGCGCAGTATTGTCCTTATTAGGGTCACAGCTAGAAATCAGCGGGTCCCACACAACTCTCAATGCAGACAAATTTTTGTACGTCCTCGTCAATGTTAAGTTTACGCGTTCGCTGTTCCACTTCTCCCAACTCGTTCGCTGCGTTTCACCCTAAAAGAGAAAGAAAGAAAACATGATCAGTGTTATCAATAAGGTTTCGAATAGGTTATACCACCCCCTCCAAAGGAGGGGGTGTCTGGTTCTTGAATCGGGTATCCATATCCACCCTCATGTGGTGCTTCGTAGTGATAGGTCGCTGGCGGTGGGTGACACGGATCGGTTGGCAGCTTGGCGTGGTGGGTGGGAATGGCCTCAATTGGTTATAATGGACGGTGACAGCTGCTTCGTTCGGTCGATCTGGATGACGCA